TTAACAAGCAGCACACGGACCGTTTGATCTGCCTCTCGCAGGTTCAGAAGACTCCTGGTGCGTTCGGGAGTTTTTGACAGGCGTGGGACACGAAACACCGTATCTAGGTCGCCGCAGATATTGTATTCGGTACTGTCCAACCACTGGCAAGAGTACTGTCTTGGCATGTAACCGTACCGAGTTCAACTCGTCAGAACAACCTTCTGGCAGGTGTCGTCAATATGACGCATGTGACCCCTATATTTGACAAGGAGCTTGTATGCGCCCTGTACTTCTTTAAACGAGGCCAAGTTGGTCACCGTGTGCGTTAGCGGAAGAGTTTCTTCCAACACGCAGTTGCCGTTATATCGAACGTGCAATCCTGCCGCTGTATCCGAAGCTATATCGAACGTGCAATCCTGCCGCTGTATCCGAAGCGTCCACGTATATGTCGATTCGTTTGAAATCCCAGGGTTCTTCTCTTGGGCATTGCCAAGTTACGTCCAGGGCCTTTCGCAGGTCCCTATTTCGTCCGCCAGAGAGGGCTTCTCTGGGTTGATCTTGAACTCTAACGAACGTAGGTGGTTCGTAACCCTTTTGTAACGCTCTCTCAGCTCCTCTCGTGTGTTCGCCGCTATGATAATGTCATCTTGGTACGATCTGACATTGATTCGATCGTCCGTCTGCAGTCGCCCCAACACTAGGCTCATTACATTCGCGAAGTGTTTCGGGGCCGTCCTGGCACTCATGGGCATCTTCTTGTAGCAATAGCATCGTCCTCGTGCATCGAGGAAACTGTAATACGGTTGCTGTTGCTTGACTATCGGAACTGCATGAAATGCCTTTGAGAGATCAATCTTAGCGATTACTCTCTGTCCTATTGCCCACGCTATCACAGGGCCTATCGCCTGCGCGTTCGGGAATTTCCCATCCGAGTTCGTATATGGATACAGAGGTTGGCAATTATGCGTTACTCTCTTTCCGACTACGTATGGGTTAATCAGGGCTTTGACGTAACCTCTCTCAATCGGCATGATCGACTCGTCTTTGAGTCTTGCGCTGATCCAATCTTCATAGATCTTTGCGTCTTCTGGATCTGACCGGGGTTTAACCCACCTCAGCGGGGGGTTTCCCTCTAGCTTCTCATTGAATGCTGGCAGCACCAAGGAGATTTTCTCTCCCGAGCCCCCTTTAATCAAATGCACCGTCGAAGAAGTGGATGTGGTATTACATTCACTCACAGCCTCTTCGAGGACCTCCCGTCGGACTGGCTCCAAGTGGACCTGTTGCTTTCCACTCTTACCTACATCCTAGTGGATGTCTCTGTCCAATTATTGGTGGCCTCAGTCGTCTTATAGCTGTTTCTTCTGTTCTTATTATTATAAGACTTCTTCCCTTTGTTATTGTTCGATTGTTGGTTCGAGTTGCCATTTCTCTGATCGTAGGACTTCTTTGACGTTTTATTATTGCCCGGCTTCTTCCGTGAACTCTTCGCGTAGATGTTCAGCGGTCGATCCAACGTGCCGGCCTCTAGTCGCTTCATGGTCGCGTCTTTGCCGTAGGCGATAATCGATATCAGTAGTCTGTCACGCTGACGTTGGGATATAACACCCTCATTGCGTATAGCGTCCAGTGCGTCAATCAGTAGTTCGGAATTCTCGATAGACGGGTGGTATATAGCCTGTGTTATCACCCGCACCTTCATCTCGAACAATTTTGGGATACTTGCTTTCTTCTGTTTGAGCTGTACTATTAACGACATTGGGTCGAACATTAAACTCTCAATGTCCTCCACAACCTCAAATCCGTATGTTTGCTCTTGTCTCTGTCTGCGTGGTTCTGAGTCGATGCTGCTATAAACAGACGAGTCGTCACGTCGGACTTCTTCCAGACCACGCGACTGTATGCGAGCCGGCATCGGCGGAGGTATATACGTTTTGGCTGGGCTTGCGAGGAGCCCGATCTAGCAAATGTCGGCTGCTTATCTCTCTGGGCTTCCCGAAATTCCCGCGTTGTTAATAGTGGATTAAGATCTAGCTGTGGTATTGCTTTCTTGATCATTGAGTAGTTCCAGGTGGTTAGGGTTCGATTCCTGGCAGACGCAAATCATGGTACCTTCAGCTTGACTTCTATGGAGAGGCTGGGTCGAACACCTCGTGCACAAGTTTATGTATACAGTTACGTCCTCCCACACCGGGGTAACGGGACTTGGATGTGCGGATTGACTCGTTGCCACACCAAGGTAATCGACAGTGCCTAACCCGCCAAGCCTGTAAAGTGCGTCGAACTCCAGGCTCCGAGCGAGCAAGCACCGGCTTTGCACATTGCGACGACTTCACCCTGACGACCCCGCACAGGCACAACAGGCAGTGCCACCGAGGTCGCACTCCTGCAACAGCTCCGAGCGCAAAGTGCAACGGGTGGTGAGGATACACAGGTTTCGCCAACGACTGCCATCATCCTTGAAACATGCGGCGACCTTCAGGGTCCTCATCCAAGGATTAC